TTGAATGTTAAGATCGATTATTCCTTAAGTGATGGTTTTGGAAATTTGAGTGATGATTTCAAATCATCAATTTTAATAGGGGCTCTCTACTGTCAGAATCTTAATTCTCAATAAAGTGGAATTTAATTGATGTTTCATTGTTCGAATATAGTATTGAGATGCTCGATGGTTTGTCATCCAGATTTAGAATCTCTATTAGCTTGATTTATATGCTTGATTCCTTGCTGCTCTTAAATCAGGAACATGCATGTTTAAAAATCAAAAGGGTTTCCTAGTTTAAAATTAGTCTTTCTTTGGTTCTTCGTAGTAGCAAGAAAAGGAATTTTAGATTTCCAAAGCTTTTGATATGTCAAACAGACAATTAAAACTCCAGTAGTATGGCCATTTGTATTCACAAAGCAAATTCTTATTTTATCATTTCATTTAATTAAAGATATAAGAGAAGAGCTAACCGGAAGACGTTACCAAGGTGCCACCCTTATTTGAGCGGTTTGAGTTTGGCTTTGACAGGTAAGTCATCACCACCTATACATGATAGTTTTAAATAAATTATGGATGTCTAGCTAATTATGAATTGATATACTTGCTTCATTACTTGAAAGTGTATAGCATGAGATTTGTGTAAACTCCAAGTTGGATGTATGGATTGACAGGTGTGTAAATTGTGAAGTTATTGTGTTATCGAATATGAAGTAATCAAGTTCTACGAATTGTATGAAGTAATTATAAGTAATGTTTTAAGGTAGCCGTGCCCCCAAGTAACTACCTGAGCTGAGCGTAGCGGGACGTCCTCCCGCGGGGAGTCCCGGGGTTACTTCTGATGGGCTGCGGGCTAGCTACCCGAGGTCATCGGCGAGGGGCCAGGACACGAGCTACGGGCCCATAAATGAAAAGGACAAAGTGAAGGAGAAAGAATGATGTATAAGGAAACTTTTCTTTAGTTTCGACACTTGAAGCTTTGCTTGTCATGTTATATGTTTTGTATGTGGTTATGTAAGATGCTTTTGAGTATTTTAGCTTGTGTATCTATTTATGGCTAGCTAAGACTCCGTTATTTTAGTGGATGAAATGGTGACTTACTAAGCAAATTTTGCTTACGAGACTTCTATTCTCTCGTGTTCTCATGTATAGGAAATGAATAAAGGATGGAAGCTTGAGAGAATGTACAGAGCTGGTGACAGGGTTTTGGATGGGTTAACGGAGAAGACCTGGCTGGCTGTTATGTTTTGTATTAGTACTATGATACTTATATGTTTTGATAAAGATTTTGTTTTTCAAAAACTCCTGATCAGGTGTAATGGTTATGTTTACGGATGGTTTATCTTGATTTCTTTATGTTTTTGTTAAGAAGTTTGGTTATGTATATAAGAAATAAAGTTTCATGAGGAGACTTTATATCTTTACTTCCGCTTTGTATATTGAGTTTGTTTATGTTTGAGTATCGTAATGGTCGTTTGGGGACGGTCGTTACACCATCCCTCCCCAACTAACACATTTTATTTGTCTTGCAGGTGCTCAAGTCATGTGGAATGGTTCCCATTTGATCCCAATCCATTTGGGGTCCAAAATATCTACCAATACTTCCAAAAAATGGAAAGAAGGGTCCTATTATTTTATCTTTGTCATGAGATGTCTTTTTTGTACTCATTATTATTAATATGGACCAAGTCAACTCCCTACATCATATTATTGATCTCCAATATGTGTAGGATCATCCCCATAATTTATATGATGAATATTATAGGAGGAAAACTTACTTCTATTATTTAGCTCAATAATGTCAAAGATGAGACCATAGACATTTGTATCCCTCTCTAATCATCCTATCACTTATTTATGACATTTGTATTTATATTCATGGGCTACAAGCCGTGTGGGTCACCCTTGAGAGAGCCTAGGATGTCATTCATGAATACTTACTATTTTTAGCAGGTTGGACCCAAAATGATGTTTGGGCTGCCCAACCTTCCTTATTTTGTATCAAAATGTTATGTATCATTATTTAGATAATGTTGGGCTCTTATATTTATTTAGATGGCCCACATAAGTATTTGAAGGCCCATTATTAATATACGAGCTCAAACGGTAAAATATTCAAACACACATTACACGAATCATTAGTCGTTTTGCACTCGTTCGACAATAGGAAGTTCAATACATAAACTTTAAAGTTTAAATTGAATTTCAAGGACGTTTGGGTGCGGTGTCACAATTTATCTCAAGAGGATAGTTAGTTTTTGAATCCCTCATTACCTTTAATGGGTGGTTTTTTGATGTCTTGTTGGGGTTATTTGGCTACATTGCAGGTGTTGTTAATATTATTATTTTTTGTTTGACTATAATCTGGTGTATAAAGAATTTAGACCTATGCAGGATGTGTGTTTTTGCTTTTGAATGGTGGTTTTGAGGAGAATACCCCTAGTTGTCTTGTATTGTGTCAATTATTTATATATACTCCATATCATTTACACTTATTCCGGAAAAAGTTTGCTTACCTTGTTTCTTTTGTGAAGTACGATTGTTTTTTTAACCCGATAATTAAGCCAACCACAAAAATCAGTGAAGCAAATGTCGGGGAACATTTATCAAGTATTATTAAAAAATAAAAAGAAATACAAACGATTGTATGTTGTTTATTATTAGATGTTTGTTTAATTTAGTTTGGATTATTCTTGAAAACCGGCAAAATAATTACAAATATTTTCGCTCCACTAATTTTGCTAAAATGAAGACAGAAACATTTATTTATATGTATACCAAATTTAAAAGAAAAACATTTTCAATCCGTAAACTGGAAAATATGGAGTATTTCATTTAGCCTTTTGGAAAAAGGTTCAAATAAGACCTTGTACTATTATCAAACCGTCACTTAAGCCCCTATACTAAAAATAGTACTACCTCCGTCCCATTTTATGTGTCTTAGTTTGACTTGACACAATTATTAATGAAGTGGTTGAGAAAGTAAAAGTTGTGATTGCGGTTTGAGTATAATAAAGTGAAATGGTGTAAACCGCATATCTCTTTCCAAAAAAAGAAAGTAGACACTCATTTTGGGACAACCCAAAAAAGAAAGTAGGACATGTAAAATGGGACGGAGGGAGTATCATATAAGTACATCTACTTTTCAAAATGAATCAATTTGACCATTTAATCATTTTTGACTCGTAATAGCAGGTTTTTAATACTTAAAAATTCTAAAAAAATGTTAAAATTTGAAGAAATATATACAAAAAATGTGAAAATTTTCAGAATATCAAAGTCAATATTTTTTAATTTTAAAAAATATTTGTATATTCTACATCTATTTAAAAGGTTTTAAAATTTTTATTTTTTATTTTTTATTTTCACATTATTTTTTCAGTTTTATGATATTTTTTAATTTTTTTACTTTAATGGTTTTAAAATTTTATCTATTTTTATGTTATTATTAGATTATTTATTCAAATTTATATGAATTTTTGTAAGTCTTATCAATATTTGCAATTTAATTTTTTTAAAAAATAACCTGTTATAGTAGGTCAAAGGGCTTGGTTGATTGTATTTTAAAAGTAGGCGTACTTATATGACACTTTTTTAGTACAAGAGCTTTATTAAGTGACGGATTGAAAATAGTAGAAGAGTTTATTTGACCCTTTTTCTAGCCTTTTTAATACAAATTCGGAGTACGTTTCTGTATCCTAAACAAAAAGCACATGAGTTTATAAATGAATAAAAGAAAAAAGGTTCACATGTCTAATCCAAACCAATTCTAAAACTAAAAATATGTGTGAATGTGTCTTGAATACTAAAAATATGTGTGAATGTGTCTTGAATAGAGGATAGGTAATGACTAAAGAAAGGAAACTCACTTACTTTTAATATTAAATAAAGGGGGGTCATGTTCACCCTTTAAGTGGGAGGTGAATAAATTCGAACTCATTGAATTCGTCCAACAACAAAAAATTGTGTATCTAGTCTAAAATTCCAAAATTAACTTACTCATTATTGGACCTTTAAGTTTTCATATTAGATGCACATACACACTCTATAGGATGTGAAAGTGTAATTATAAAATACTTATAAATGTATTAATTGATATTTTAGTTCATAAACTAGATTGTGCCATTTGGACAAAGGGCTATTTCATTGTTTTTTTAAACATATATAAATCATTCTAGGAACAATTCTCTGAATAGAAGTAAATAAAATCAAAACGGCATAAAATTTAAACTCCAAAAATAGGACTAAGGAGTTGTTCCATGTAAAAGTATCCAAAATATTCTTTGTGTTTGATTCAAGGTAAAGTCTTGTTAGGCTGTTACTAGCCATAAAAGTTACATATTTGTACGCCAATGGTGCTCCATTTTGATGACGATAGATCAAAAACAAGACCGTGTGTTTAATATACAGGAAGTTTTCCATAACTTATAAATTTCGCATGTATTCAATGCAATTCACTTATAGCGTATCATCGTAATAATTTATCAACTGAATAGTAATTATCATTGATTTTTTATTTTAGGAGTATTTCAATATTTCACTTTTATAACAACCCTACATATGTAATCGAGTGTGACAAATTACTCATTGTGCATCGCACGAGTATAATACTACTTACTATTTAAAAAAATAAAAATTAGGAATTCCAATTATTCCTTAGAACAGGTGTCAGAAAAATTATACCCTCCGTCCCAAATTGTTTTGCAAAGTCAACATTTTTTTGTCAACCAATAATAAAAGTCAATATTCTGTATCAATCATTAATTCAATTTTTAATAATTAAAATTTACATATTCAGAAACTACATTAAAATCTCTTTAAAGTTTCAAACCCCAAATTAGAATATATTTAAAAATTGACATCATAATTAAGTCAATAAAATGAAACAGTTTAATCAAGAAAAGTCAAATTTGCAAATATTCGGCGGAGGGAGTATTTATCGTTTGAAAAAAAATTGAAAAACCATACTCCTTAATCCGTATCAGACTATCAGGTGCCCACATCTAATCGTAGCTTCAGTTGCAGCAATGGAGCTTTCAGTCTGTCATTGCCGACTTCTATACTCTCCCTCTCCGCCATCATTTCTCCCCTCTCGCCTCCTACCTACAAAGCTTACTTTCCTGAACACTCCGATCATCAATCCTACAAATCCATTGCATAAACGACAACTGGGGTTCGCACGTCTCCAAAGTCGCTCGGCTTCGCTAATGGACTCTCACAGTCCTCTTCATTCACTTGAAAATGTCTCACCCTCAGAGTCTTCCATATTCACGACCGGTAAAAGCTCTTCCTTTTACAGATTTCTATTTCGATACCGATTGGCGTAACTTATGCCCAAACTTCGGATTCCTTAGGTCGAATTGGAGAGGTGAATAGGGTAACGAAAGAGACTAACGTGTTTGTGAAGATAAACTTGGACGGAACGGGTGTAGCTGAAAACTGCACTGGAATTCCATTCCTTGACCATATGTTGGATGTGAGTCTTTCTGTTGGTTGTTTGCTCTTTTTAGTATTCAAAAAAATTTAAATTCAATTAAAATTAACAATTTTCTGGCATCTTGCTCAAGCTCTCAATGTTGTGCTTGATTATTTATTGGTTCGTAGTGTTTCTATATCCTCAAAGCTTGAACTTGTGCCTAGGAATGCCATCTCTCATTGAGAAGAGATTTGCTCATTGTGCAAAGAAAAAGGGAAATATCAATATGTAGCACACTATCAAAATGATCTGCTTCGGTTCACTAGAGTTTGTAGTTCTTTTGAAATTAGGCGCGCCTTTTCACAATCTTCATCTAATAACATTGGGTGTCTCAAGTCCCTTAACTTTTTGGAACACATGTTTTTTAAGTATCAGGGGTATCTCAAGTCCCTAATACTTATAAAACTTATTGGCATTTTTATCATTCTTTTTTAGTCAATTTCAATATCACTCTCAAGAATATTCATTGATATTTCTAGAAAATTGAAATACTAATTTTTTCAACCTCGCTTGGGTCTACTGGTGTAGTTGCTTTGTAGGGGATCAAAATGGTTTATATCATCAAGAATGCTCATTACTGCACTATTTCATTTTTGTATTTCAATTGTACTGCGATTTTAGTTGTGGTGTGGATTCTTGCTGTTTATAGCAACTTGCATCACATGGGTTGTTGGACATGCATGTGAAGGCCAAGGGGGACATTCACATAGATGATCATCACACAAATGAAGACATTGGGTTGGCTATTGGATCAGTAATATATCTACACGCATTTGCTCTATTCACACATATTCATAATTCATTATAAAAAGCTTACCTTTATATGCTTCTATTTGTTAAAATCTAGGCTTTGTTGGATGCACTTGGAGATAGAAAAGGAATCAACCGGTTTGGTGACTTCTCAGCTCCTCTGGATGAATCATTGATACATGTTGCATTGGTACATCTAAATATATAATGGTCTTAAAACATCTATATGAACCAGAGATGCTATATCATTTTAATTTGATGAATTCATGGAGTAGCTTTTTATGTGCTCTGTTTTACTTATTGTTAAATTTCAATGCAGGATTTATCTGGACGACCACATTTAAGTTATGATTTACAAATACCTACCCAGAGAGTGGGAACATATGATACACAGGTTAGTCAGGTAGCTTATATAGCATTTGTTTGCTGAGTTGAATATGGCCATTAAAAGTAGTTTTTATGTTTGGTTTCACCTTGTAAATATAAAAGAAGAATTGAATTTATTAGAATTCAAAACTACATATTTTACTTGTACTTTCATTTTTGTCTTAATGTAGTACAAATACATGCCTCGTAATATATATCTATTGATTTATTGAGCTCCCCCTCCAGATTTTCCTTCTATTATTCTTTCTATTATCTTTACCGGGCAGCTACTGGGTTCCAATAGTACCCTAATAAATGGATACACCATGGGTTACTAACTTGAATATGGGATTTCCTAGCTCGTAGAACACTTCTTCCAGTCCGTGGTCAACACTTCTGGAATGACACTTCATATACGACAGGTAGTTGAATGCATTTGCTTGTGATCCTTTTAGGTTCTGCTGCATTTTGAATTTTGTTTCAATTTATAGTGTTTGATAAGTTACATTTAATTGGAAGCAGCTAGCTGGAAAAAATTCTCATCACATAATTGAAGCCACCTTTAAGGCTTTTGCAAGAGCCCTTAGACAAGCAACCGAGTATGACTTGCGTCGTCATGGAAGTATACCGAGGTTCCTCTCATTCTCTTTTCCCTTATACTACGTATAATAATATTTTTAAGTTTTAAAGTCTATTGAGATTACTGTTTTTAAAATTAAGATTTTATTGAAGTGAAAATACCAAGTGGTCCGGACTCCAGAGTAATGGCGTTGCAAAAGTGATCTTTCAAATAAGCCGCCCTTAAAGTGTGTTTTTTCACCGTGAAACTATATTTTCCTACTTTCCTGTCAAATTACGTTTCTTTTTCAAGTAAAAGTACTTTTCATCTTCTAAAAGGCCTCATTCAGTGAGTCATCCTAAATGCGCTTTAAGCTAGTTATGGTTTTGCTTCTAATTGGACTTCCTTCTGGACTGTAGCTAGTGATTAGTACAGTTCCCTTAGGTAAAAGTGCTTCCAATTAGATATTCTTTACATAATAAAGGATGCCTATCTCTGGTTATTTTATGGTTATCATTATTGATATTCATTCATTAGTTGTTTCTCACTATGCAGCTCAAAGGGGGTTCTTTCACGTGCTTAAAGTGTTAAAATTTGATGGAATGTGGATGCCCTAGACTACCTCAGGTAACTTTACTACATTTTCTAGTCAAAATTGTTGTTTACTACTACGTATTTTATTATGTGATTTTTGTTCTAATTGGGAGGAACCAAATGTTGTGTTTTGCAGTATTTATCAAAGGACTACCATTGTTATAGAAGAATATGATGGTGTTGCTGTATGCCATCCTTTTCAACAACTGATAGATGCCACTGTAGTTTGTTTAGAAGTTAGAACATCAGAGCCATGTGATGTAATTTGCCAAGATGATAATCATTGTGTATTTGACTTATTTGCTAAAATTGGTTTCACCATTTTTTATGACACCGATTTTTGTTCAAATAATACCCTTTTTGAAGATTGATATAACATCTTTCCTTGTTACGCAGTATCACAACTCCACAAGCTCCTTACGAGATTTCCAGAAGTACCTAGCGATGCTTCCAATTCAGGGCATATAAACTAATGGGTCATTTATTCGTTTGGTTAAAATTTTACAACCTCATTACCAAATGCTAAATAATTTATTTATTTATTTATAATTTATTTAGCATAAAATGATGGGATAAAAATGTATATACAATGTAATTATACTGCGTAGAACATCTATGCCCTTCAATTTGTTTTAGAACAGTTAAAACAAAATTTGTAAAATTGGAACAAATGTATCCATGGGCATTCAAGGACCACTTCACAACTCAGCACATAATAATACTAATCTCAAATTGACCCATAGATTGTCATCCATCATGTAACTCAAGATGGGGGTTGTCACCCCATTCCTGAAACTTGTTTTGCTATCGTGTATACAGCAATGGGGTGAGAAAAAGTACAGCGTCTTCCCGTGGATTGCTTGTGCATTAACAGATTCTCTGCTGTTTCTTTTTACAAATCATCCTCTGCTTTGATGAGATCATTTAGAATCTCAACTTTAACATGCTCAGGAAGTGGTGCAGATGGGCCTGCCTCTGAGTAAAAGTTGGCTAATGCTCTTATTGCTCTCTCTAGCATCTCATATGATTCCTGCAGTTTCAACAGGTTATATTGCAAAAGGATCAAGCATGTTGATTTGACCTACAAATACACATACCTTTAAATGTCTAAGGATCTAAAATTTTACCTCATTAACCACAGTTTTATCTCCTCTCCACCCACCCAAGTACGCACGAATTGACTCCTTTGCTGCATCCGCTGTTCTCCTAAACTTGGCCATGTCATTGGGATCCTCCTCGAGTGATTCCCGCAATGTCTTAATCACTTCTCTCACTGATTTCAAGTAGTCCTTGGGTAAGAATTTCCCTGATTTAGTTTTCTCATTTGGTTCAAACAAGGACTTTAAGGCTCCAATAACGCCCTCATCATCTTGGGCTGCTTTTGATTTCTCTCCAGCCCAAGCTGGTAACAAACCAAATCTTCCATTAAATGAAACAAAAGGGATCATGCTACATCCTAGAAGAAACCTGCGACGAGATTGTTCTTCCCCGGCCAGCACATCATGATGACTTGATTTCAGTTTATCTGTTGCAACATGAAAAAATTGCATTTTCAAAATAATATTAAAAACTTCAAAATGAAAATAAGATAACAAACAGCATTATAAGCTACAAAAGGAATAATTCTTGGGTCTGTTATAAGCATTATGAGCATTATAAGCATTATAAGCATTGAAAAAGGGTCTGGTTAACCATATGCATTATCTAACATTCATGAGAGAGAATGACTTTGGATGAGAGTATGACTTTGGAGAGGGCGAAGTGGAAGGAATACAAGTGAAGAGTATTGATCTTTAGATTTTGTTTATCTTCCATTTTCTCTATCTGCGTACATCCGACCCCCCCTACCCCACCGTAGGTGGAAGCCTTTGCGGCACTAGGGTAATGATGATGATGATAGTTTTGAACCCGGATATCATATTCATATGTCTATCGATTGACTCCAAACTCTTCGGAAATACGGCTTAGTAGTTGTGTAACTAAATCATCAATGAATACACTTGATGTTTAGCATTTGAACACCAAATATATAATCAAACAACCAATTAAGTAATTAAGTAATCATCCACTAAAAAATTCAATATTTATTTAAAATCACATAGAAAAATATAGGGAAAATTACTATTAGCCCCCCGAGGTTATGTTATAATTATTATTGCAACCTTGCATTTTCATAATTCAATTGTTTACCCCCTGAGTTTTGGTCATTCTCACTATATGCCCCCTCATGTTAATATTTGTTAAATGAAATTAAATATAACTCTTAAATTCAATGTAAGTTGCCTATAAATTAATTTCCAAAGTGTAACATAATTTATTATCATAATTATAAGTCATTGTTGTTGATCGTTATTTTTCTACTTAGTTACTCGATCATGGAATAACTATTAATGTGAGTAGGTAAGGGGAAGATTCACGAGTAATATTCACGGGATACATCAAAGAAAGTCATTAAAAAATGTGTTGTCAAAATTATAGGCACTTCATCATGAATATAAAAGTATTTGAAATTCATCTGGTTGAATTATTCTCAATGACCTTTCTTTCATGTGTAGCAAAGAAGCTAGAAATACCAAGAAAAAAGGAATTTCATCATGTCATGACCTAAAAGATAGGTCAAACATCAATAAGCGACCTAAAATATAGAATGTATCGGTATAGGAGCTAAATAATTGAAAGCTATTAATCTAAGACCTAAAATAACATGGATTTTGATTTATTTAAATATTTTATTTACTTTGTTACTAATTTGTGATGATTCTATCTTCACAATTTTTTTACAGTAAGAAGTCTATTAGTTTATAAGATTGAATGATATTTAATTTTCTATAATCGAAATATCGAAATTCATGATATTTTATATCTTACGTAGTACTTGTGAGTATTTTCCCTTAACTACTCTCAATAATATTTATTCCACGATGGAGTAGCTAAGTAGAAAAATAATGATCAACAATAATGAATTATAAATATGAAAATAATTTGTGTTTTAATTTAAAAATTAATTTATAAACAATTTTCATTGAATATAAGAGTTATATTAAATTTGATTTAACAAATATTAACGTGAGGGGCAAAGAATGAGAATGATCCAAACTTAGGGGGTAACTAATTGATTTTTGAAAATGTAAGGTTGCCTTCATAATTATGACATAACCTCAGGTTGCCTTCATAGTTTAAAGATAGCCTTAAGAGATATGGTTTTCAGTGTTTTTTTTTTAAATCACGCAAGGACGGCATATATTATTTGAACAATTGATCCTTAATCTATCTATGCCTCCCAACTTAGTCAATGCTATTTGATCAAGATATAGTTGACATAATTAAACTACTGAACAAAATAGTGCTCTCCCAAATTTTCTCATCAGTGTTAGATGAATATTTAAACATGTTTGCAAGAGATGTGAGATTTTTATCTTCCATAGTTTCTAGTTTTACATATTATTATACAAGCATTGGGTTTAACCATATATATAAGTTCGAGGAATTTTTTTATTGGTTTTGATTTCGGGAGAAAATCTAAGTCTCTTCATTTTTACAATAACTTTGTGTTTAACAGAGGTTATTTTGGAGCTTAAAACTTAAGGCAACATTATGATCTCAGTATGAAACTGGCAGTATGGTTTCATAATGACAATACTTACTCCTATATAGGGAAAAATCGTAGTGCTCCTATCTAGGAATTTACTCCTATTTAGGCCAATTTCTAAATAACTATTTAACCTTTCCTGTAAATAGAATAAAGCTTAAACTAAGCTAATACTCCGTATATGAAAAGCTATCTCCTATTGAAAGCTCTAATCTTTTATTTGTTTCCACTAATCCACTTATTCTTTTTAGAAATTTAACCATCTCTGTTCATCTATTATCAATACCAGCAATGCCTGTCATGTCCTCTTTACATAAATCAGCTACTTAAAAACAAATTTACCAAACAATTCGAATATCAATTAAAGCTTTCAACTTTTAGCTATTTTGCTGCTGCTAAGAAGATTAGTGTGGAGCTAAGAGAAGAGTAATTACTTACAGTCAGTGACAACTTTACACCTATCAACAGAGCTGAAAACATTGACGGGGCACATCTTCATCTGAACAGGTAGGAAGAAAGCCATCCTTCGAGGGATCTCGGCTCATGCTATCCCACAAATCAAGGGAATGTCGTAACTATACACCAAGTCACCAAAACATAAAAAATTTCGCTAGAGCAAAAAAACATTTTTGTATAATCATATTCTCTGTTTAGATAGGATATATCACAATAATTTGAGAACGTGGTAATGTTCAAACCCTACTAATTTAAGAAATTCAGGTAATTATGTGCCCCATGATAATGATAAACATTATGAGTGAGGTTTTTTTAGCGCAATCCCCACTTCCAAGTTCCACCTTTGTTGATAAACATTGATTAAAATACCAAGTATTAGATAGAGAAAACAAAATCAAAGAAGAATGAAAGAAAGATCATTCAATCTCCAAATCCTCCAACAAATAATCAATTAGGATTTTGGGTTGCAAGTAATGGACAGACTAAAGAACTGTTTTTTTGCTTCAAATTCAGTGATTATAGAAAGAGTGTAAGAACCCAATATCTAATACTCTGTAATTCGATGAACTTTGTTGTTTTTTACATAAAATTGGACGAAGTCATGATCAATTTAAGAAGAAGAAGAAGCTGGCTAACCTCAATCCGTTTCTTCTCGCTTCAACCAACCTTCTGACCGAACGTTTTAATGGATTACACAGTATTGGGCCCGTCCATATGTTATCCATAGTTTTGGGACACAAAAGAGTTTTTGTAAAAAGAATGAGGGTAATTTAGACCTTTTAAAAATAGGGTTTCTCCTAATAAAACCCCTTCTTCGTTCCCAACCCATTAAAAACCTAGCAGACTCCTAGCGGCCCTTCGAGAGACAGACGGACAGTAGAGGGTAAAAGCAACGCCGCAGCCATGGTTAGTTCGATGGCGATTTCCGTTGAACTGTGTTTAGTAGAACTCTATCACCAGCTCTTTGATGATTTCATTGATGTTTCTTTGTGATTTTGCAGAGTCTGGTAGCGAATGAAGATTTCCAGCACATTTTGCGTATCCTTAACACCAACGTCGATGGAAAGCAGAAGATTATGTTCGCTCTCACTTCCATCAAAGGTATCGGCCGCCGATTTGCCAACATCTGCTGCAAGAAAGCCGACATCGACATGAACAAAAGGTCCATCTTTCTTACACCATTCAGCAATCTGAACCTTTGTTTTGACTATGTTTTTCCAATCATCATTTCTTTCACATTTATTTATCTGCTAGGAAGTTACATTGCCGATCACAAACGTATTAATTTGTTTGTAAAATCGTAAAACATTTTGTTTTTTGAAAAATTGCATTCCTTCCTCCTACTGATGGAATTCGGTTAGTTTTAAGCGTTTGTCTATTTTTAGTGCGGAGTAACTTTGGTGCATTAACTCATTGTATTCTTGTATTGAACCACAAAAGTTCACATTTTAATGGTCTTTAGCATCTTGATTTAGTTAGATGGGCCTAAGTGGTTTATTCCTTGCTCTTAATAGTTGGACTCATTGGTGTTGATTGCTTAAGGTTCATTACTTGGTTTGGCTATTCAAGTTTCTGAGTGTTTGCCTGAATGTATAAATCATATGTGGCTGACTGCAGGGCTGGAGAGCTGTCTTCTGCTGAGATTGAAAATCTGATGACGGTTGTTGCAAACCCCCGTCAGTTCAAGATCCCAGACTGGTTCCTTAACAGGCAGAAGGATTACAAGGATGGTAACTATTCACAGGTTGTATCCAATGCTTTGGATATGAAACTCAGGGATGATCTTGAGAGATTGAAGAAAATCAGGTAATGATTTCTTACCCTAATTATTTAAAATTGTTAAGATTTTAATGTTCTTATACTACGTATGCCTTACTATAGTAAGGATTCTTACTATAGTAGTTCTATTTCGTTGTTTAAGGAACTTTGAAACTGCGGCTTCCAATGTGAGATTCTGCGCATTGAACTTGTTATCTCAATTTTGTGAAATTGATGAGAAATGAAATTGGGATATTAACAGAGATTGAGAGCAACTTTTATGGTCCATTTAACCCCAATGCTAAAAGTTCCTTTCACTTTTTTTTGTTCACTCATACCATATCATTTTTTCTTTAAGTACAGTATATTTTAAATATTTTATTTTTTTGATCCTATTGAGATTCAATGGGTAATAAGATCTGAGATAGATACTGTTCAATCCATTATTAGTTGTGTTATATTGTTGGACTGAACATATAGATCATGTACAACTCATTTCTTTAGTCTATCTCTATTTTACCATTTTGCTTTCACTGTCTTAGCTGGTAAGGTCTTCCTACAGTATCTGACTTGCTCTTGATGTAAAAAAAATAGGAACCATCGTGGTCTGCGACACTACTGGGGTCTTCGTGTACGTGGACAGCACACTAAGACTACTGGACGCAGGGGAAAGACTGTTGGTGTCTCCAAGAAGCGTTAAGAGATTTTGTTTTTACACCCCATCTGTTCTCATTAAATTATGTTCTGTTTATTTTTCAAATTTTGGTTAAATATACAATGAATGATGTGGTTTTAGCACTTGGAGTTCCTGTTTCCTAAGCATGTGAGCCTTTAGGGTTTTCAATCAAAGTCGACAGCCTTTTGCTTCCTCTCTATATTACTAATTTACTGAACTGATGAGTGATGAGTTTTTAGAACTTCTATAATCATTTCTGTGGGTTTAATGCCTCCTTTGGTAATTTCGATTCTTTCATTCCAAATTTTGTTATCTTTTTTTGCTTGGGTTTTACTTTCTTATTCCTCTAATTATCAGTCTTGTAAAATAATTGATCAGGCTGTAAACCTCAAGTCCTGAACTTGCCTTCATGGCTTCATCCCCTTCTTTTCTAAATTTGGAAATTGATCATCGAGTTTTTAACACTAATGTACAAATTTGATCATTACTTCATGACCAGAACTTTCTCATTGGCATCGACTTAACAACTTGCCTTAGCAGAAGTCACATCCATTTTGTTGTGGGTAGCCATTGTAATATTGTATTGGACCTTGGGCTGGGTTTGAGAAATTGAAAATCAAATCAAAATAAATCGAATTGAGCAAAATAAAATTCAACCGCCAAAAATTTGAAATTGAATGTAGAAAGTTGAAATGAAATGTAGTTCATAGGCTCGGTTTTGGTTTTTGTCCTTTAAACCCGAAGCGAATTGAAATTTTATTTTTTAAATGTTAAGCATTAATTAATCATATCATAATAATATACTTGTAGGGAGTGTTTGCAATTGCTTTAACTTTAAAAAAGTGATTTTTTAAAGTGATTTTTGGAAAAGTGATTAATAGTAAAAGTTGGTAGTGTTTGAGAAAAAAGTGATTCTGGAAAAGTAAAAGTTGGTAGTGTTTGGTAAAATAAGTACTTTTTGTGTAATAGAAAAAGTGAGAAGCAGTTTAAAGCACCATTCTACCTGCTTCCAGCTTTTAGCTTTTAAGTGATTAATTTAAGCAGAAACTGTCATTTGAAAACACTCTTTTTAACTTTTTTTAAGCCAAAAGCTGAAAAGCGCTTTTTTTAAGCAAACTCAAACACTCCCGTAATATTATCAAAAGTCTGGTTTTCCTAGAAAATTAATTTTTGTGTTATGTTTAATTTAGTTTAAAATGTATTTACTGTTTACACATTGATTATCTATAATATTGTAGTTATATTGATCTATGATGTCTTTTAAGTATGTATACTCGAATTTATTGCATTATGATGGATGTTTTTATTGCAATTTTAACTGGGTTTATGTAGTAATGATATTTTCAGTCGCAGACCATACTAGAGCAGGACAAACTTAAATAGATCAGATTCTAACAGATCAAACCACACATATTCTAAAAAACATATTTTAACCGCGTGTTTTATCAAACCGGTGAATGGTGTTTTGACTTTTTTTTGCTCTTGAGAAAGTATAGGTACAGGTACATGTAGAACTATTTAGGTGAAATTGAACACCAATCTTCCCTTGGAATGAGTTGTTGAGAAGTTAGGTGATAGAGTATATGGGCCTAGATCTCGTGGCCCACATACTCAGAAGGTAAAAGCATGGGACTGTCACCCACATCGCGTCCCATCGGCAAGAGACAGAGATACTCGAATCGCGGCCCATAGCCCCCAGTGCCGCATCGGCCATACCATGCCGCATCGGCCAACAAATTCCGGACATAATGTATTTTTATGCTTACATAGATAAATCATGTACTCAGCCCATAAGAGGTCTTATAATGCCCAAAAGAGACCTTATTATTGTAATGCGCCTCCTAAGGCAAGACTAGGATTCCAAATCCACATTAACTCCTATAAATAGCCTCTTGGGGATAGTTATAGGGGTTGAAAAATATATTAATTACCAACTTTCTCTCTCTAAATCTAACTTCTCTCTAGAATTTAACTTTATCATTAGGATAGATCAAGATGTCATAAACTTTTCCCTCTTTAAGTTTTCCAAAAACTACATGTATTGATTATAACCACATTTATATTGGGTGATGCTTTTTAACATTAAATGGAGTTATGTGATCAATATTAAAGTGGTAAAGTGTGAAAAGTAAGAATGAATTAAAATCATTTCAAAAAGCAAAAAATAAATTATTAAAATTAATAAAAAAAATTACACCTGCTAATGAAGGGTATAAATTAATGAAAAAAGGTAAACCGCTAAGCTCTTCCCCAAAAAAAGGTTGCTATAAGAAAAGCCAACTTGGAGTATAGCCTAACAATGGTCTGAAGGCCAGAGGTCAAAATATCCAGCATCCAACAATTACATGTGACCCCTAGCAAATTATGTCTCCCGAAACCTAAAGAAATACCCAAAGAAACCTTCTTACGCCCGGATTCAATATTTCATTTTGAAGTATATTCGAGATTTAATCTAGGCATGACTCGAGATCAATTTAAGATCTACCAAATGTTGTACGGAGTAGTAGCTATTGATTTTAATTAAGGGCATCCTCATAAGTGTATCTTCAACTTCAATGCTCGAGAAAGCCGAATCGAAATTAGGGAGGAAATGTTGATAAGCAAGAATCTAAAGTCGCTTCTCATCAACTATGCCCTATTCAACAACATTTCTGCTACACTATTTGATGACTTCTTCTAATCAGAATTCAGAATCTTTGAAGATCTCAAGTTTATTCAAGTCTTTCCAAACAAAAATGATGATAAATACTCATAGTCTCACAGACTCACACCCTCTAACTTACTTAATGCAACCCGTGGTAGACAAATTTGACCTTTTTAAATTTTGATTGAACGAAATTGCAACATACGTAGTAGAAATTTGGAGCTTCACAAGCCACCCGCTAATTTCTTTCAAAATTCCTCTCCGTCCTTTGTTTGGTGCCATGTGTCAAATTTTTTGCTTTGATATTTACAAAAAAAATGTCCAATTACTTGATTAATATTTAGGGTTCTTCTATGGTACCAACATAAATTAGATGGGTTTCGGTACCCATATTTTTCTAAACCAATCGGAATACAGGAAACTGTCACCTCACATTTTTATTTGCAATTTAATTCCTCCCAAATTCCGAGTTAGCGGATGGGAAAGAAAATTAAACATTCATGCTTGCTCATAAATCATGTTTTAAGCGAAAATAGTTGATTGACATCTGTCATCAACCTTAATTACAGGAAATCATTTACTCCTCCGTATCAAATTAATTGACCCGTTTTCCCTTTTGGGACGTATCAAAATAAATGTCACATTTCCCTTTTTGGAAATAAACGCACCTAAAAAGCAGCTACAATACCGCTACAGTACCGTTACAGTACCAAAAAACTCCTACTTTACATATATTTGCCTTAAATTACGTGAAAAAGCATACAAGTCAATTAATTTGATACGGAGGGAGTACTTCTTATATATTATTACCATCTCGGTGAATTTTACCAAGTGCAATGTATGTGACAAATAAGAATAGTAAAAATGGTGTGGTTGAAATTTGTGCAGAGGAGAGAGAAATGTGGATAACCACAAATTAGTTGCTTTAATAGGAAAGTGTCAAAGTTTTTTGGGACAACAAAAATATGAAAGTTGGCAAAATCTAATAGGACGGAGGGAATATTAGAAAGAAACCGAGGTTAATTTTTCTGTTCGATTATGTGAAGCTAAAATTCCTTATGGAGGCTCGTTAAATATATGTGAAAAACTTTTGTGTTTTGGTTGTTGATTATTACTCATCCATCCCATTTTACTTGTCTTATTTTCTTTTTTGAGTTGACCCAAAATAAGTAACATATTTTCTTTTTTGGAAAAAAATATGTGATTCACAGCATTTCACTTTATTAAATCATCACTATTCATAGAGAGAAACCCCAGCGGTCGTCTCCCCTCTTTGTAGGGTTTTAGATTTTCCACCGCCCCTATCAATATGAGGTTGGAGCGGCAGAGTATACTGATTTTAAGTGTTTTAATGCTTGGGATTGCAACTACGTCGGAAGAGATATCGTTGACGGATAAACGAGGTGTGACTAGAAGATTGTATCGAGGCTGGATCGTGAAGCCTTGGTCGGCAATTTCGACGGTGGTTGCGTTGGTTTTCATCCATATTGCAAGAGCTCATCCTCCTCCGGAACCACCTCCATACAAGGAAGAGCTTTGTGGACAGATTTTATTTCAGTATTATTTTCTCTTTAGTTGCAATTGTTTCAGTTTTAATTCGAGTAGATTTGATTTGAATCTTTGGATTTTTGGAGTTCTTTTGATAGGCAGTGTTTCGGTTTCGATCGTTTTAAGCCTAAATTTGCTCGTTTCAGGTTTAGCGAGTCATGTTGTTTTGTATGAGGTGGCTGACTCTAAGTCTACTCCCAGGGTTCACGATTGGATTTGTAAATTCTGTCCGAAGATTATCTTGTATGTATTCTTGATTTTAATATAACGGCTGCTCCTTTATGATTAAAAAAAAGCATCATCATTCATAATCTCTAAAAAACAATATTTTCTAGCATTCTCACCTTTTAAATATTGTTACATAATTAATGTTTAAATAATCTCAAAATTTGTTTATGCCTCCCAACCATCATTTTCAAATAATCCACATTATTTTCAATATTACATATACTTTTCAAATAATATTAAGATAATCCGGATTCATATTTTGATACCAGATTATTTTAGCAAATAATCTCATTAAATAATTTATGTCACTCAGCGATAATTTTCTAAAAAATTGTCATGTCACTAACTTAATCTCTTAATAATCCTAGGATGCCCCTGTACTCAAATTTCAACCACAATTTTACATTTTTGATCACTTTATTAATAATTGTGCCAAAAACAAATGAGACACATAAATGTGAGACCGTAACAAATATTGAGTAGTTCTAAAATTCAAGCGTTAGAGCAATAAAAAATCACGTGTTAGACAATTAATTTTATATTTTAAAAAAATACGATAGTATAAAACAAGCTTTTGGAAATTGGAATAAAGTTTTCGCTGAATTTTGGTTGAGTTAGTTTCTCCTTAAATCTCATGAAGATTATTACGTATGCAGTTTTCCTTTTTTATGAGCGGTGCAACTGCATTTTTAAAAAATGTGATTGGTGTGTAAACTGAGGTACCGAAACCTTCGAAATTTTGGAATGCACGGTAGAATTTCCCTAATATTTATAATCTTCCATGACACCTATATCACATGGAACGAACGTACTTTAAATGTATAATTTCTTTTTTGTAGCCATAAATCGTAAATAAATAAGGTTTACTTTATATGATATTTTAG